CCCCCCCCAATCCCCCGGCTGGAATTCAGACCAGAAAGTAGTTCGCCAGGAGCCGCTCCACCGATTCGCCCTGCTGGTTACTCGCCTTCTTCAGCAGGTTCCTCCTCTCGTTCTCCCAGTTCTCCTTGAGCATCGCCTCGCGCTGCTGCAGCGGGGTCATGGCGTACGTGGGCAGCCCGCTCGTCGCCGACGACATGGCCGATGACATCTCCGCGTGCGCGTTCTCCATCGCGGTGTGGCCGGTGCCGTCGGGGAAGCACTGTTGGGTATCGGTAGTGTAGTTCTGGGGGGAGGAGGTGCTCGAGTTTTGGTTCGGGATGTAGTGCTGCTCAGAACTGGTGTCGAGCACCGGCTGATTGGCAGTGTAGCTCTGGCTCGCAGCGTAGTTTTGCGGAGGGCTGGCTTTGCCATAGGGAAGCTGTTGCTGTTGACTGTTGGTATTGAATCCATGCTCTTTAGCGAGTTTACTGATCGTGCTAGTCGTAATATGCTGTGGCATATTGGCCGCCACGGGCGGCGAGAAGGCTCTCACGACAGCGCCCGTCCCCATATTAGAAGGCACCATGCTCATCATGATATCTCTCCGAATGATCATACTCGGCAAGCGCAGATAGAACTGTGATTCACATATCAGCATATATGATGCGGTTAATGGGAAGAGGTCTGCTTACACCACTGAGCACCTTGGCATGATTCAACCCAAGCATCTCGCTCACGAACACTAGACGTCCTTTGGCCCATATCCGCTGGGAGTCCGAGATGTAGTCGGTATTTGAGATGGAAAAGAGCGGCCACATCATGAAGAAGCCACCGATGGCTTTGGCGCTCGTGACGCCGCCGTCACCAGCCTCGAAGCTCGCAAAGTCCCCGGACTTGAGCATACCACCTTGGCCGACCCGCCAGCCCAGATGATATGGCGTAGACGCAACGACATCCGTGATGAGGTCGCCGCACAGCCTCACGGCTTGTGCGTATTCGGGCGTGGTACGGTAGTCCACTGGTGCGCAGATCCAAGCCGCGCAACGGACAACAATACCTGAGATAAAGAGTCTCACGACCCGGAGCTGGTTCCAGATGTTGGCAATCGTGACATCGCTGTACATATCCACTCTGCCGGGGAACACCTCCGCTTTCGTAAGATCGCCACCCGGGACCTGGTCTACCCAGGCGACGGCCCGCGATCTCCACTCATCAGGTAGGCTCGTTTCCCATTCCTGACACTCCTTCTCCAGGTCCTCGGCGCGGTGCATGATGTCGGCGACGTGCTCAAAGTATTCGGGCGTGCGAGGGAAATTCGACAGAGCATTGTTAAGCTCGTGTCGGAGTTCCGCGACTCTGCAGCTCATCCGAGTGGCAAACATCCCGATTCTGTCTCTTTCGATGTCGACAGTCCACCAATCCGTTCCCATGTTTAGGGGTTTGGACCCCGACAGAGTCGATACAAGCTGGGGAAGGAATCAGCAAGTGAAAGTGGGACTCGAGAGGAAACTCACCATCTGCTGTCTCACGGCGGTAAATAGAGAATAACCGGTTTTAGTTCTCAACTGTTTCTTCCCTCTCATCTTGACCAGTTGAACCGCTCCGTCAACATGTGAGTACCAAGCCATCGCACTCGTCCTCTCCGACGCAACTGTCTGTTGGTTATCCGTTAGCCAAGATCTACCATCAACAAGGACTAGATGCCTCTTGCCTACCTCGAAGAATCCCAGCATCAGAATGGCGGCGAGGGTCGCATCCGTCTTCTGATGTGCCGCACTCTGGAGAGCCAAGTTCGTCGCCTTGAGCGCCTTCGTATATTGGCCAACGGCCTGACTGAACAGGTGTTTCTGCCCTCTCGTGTTCGGCCTGTTCGCCAATGAAGCCATCGCGACGGCTCCAAACGCAAGCTGCAGGTGCGAATCCGGCCTCTCATTTTTCAGCATCGGCAACAGGAAATCAAAATAGCCTCTTGACTCATGCCGAGGCGCAATGACAAAATTGTTTACGAAGAAGTTAGGGGCTTGGATCTCGAGGGGGACCTGTAGGGTACGCAGTCCTCCCGTGGGTACCAGTGCGCGCGAAGCTTCCACTCCGGGGTTTGGGGCTATCAGCGTTGGTAATCTTTCAGGGCTGCTCTCATCCTTAGGCGACGATGAGAAGGCGGATTGCTGGGTCGCAAAGCTGATCTGGGCAGCTACCCTCTTGCTGTTGCCTGATCTCCGGGCCCTCCTCTCGGTAGCTTGCGTCTCGTTGCGAAAGACCAGATCAAAGTCGTCTTTGTATCCCGGGCATACACGCCTCGATTTGGCGCATTGGTTACATGTTGGTTTAGTCTCGTCACACTTGATGAATGTAAGCACTTATCCACCACAACGTAGAGGAGAGGGGCAGCCACCTTGATCCGACGGGTGCGGCACATCTGGCAGCCCCTCGAGGGCTTCCCACAGTACACCATAGGGGGCTACGGGTATGATAGATGGTATTGTGGATGGATAGATGGATAGATGTACAGAGAGATAGAGAGATCGATCGATAGATAGACAGATGGGTGGATACAATGGCGTTCCTGGAAATCCGACTTGGAGGAATTGCTATATCCAGTGTTCAGGGTAGGAGAATGACCGAATCGTACTTTGGGCACGTCGAATGGATGGATGGATGGCTAGACGCGTAGATTTCTGGTTCGGGCCTGGTGATAGGCAAGATGTTGGACGTAGGACGTAGCTCACGGTCCGCCTTTCCAACGACCAAACTGGTTGACAGGTAGTATTGCAAAACGTGAAACTCTGGCAGGTGGAGGAAGGGTGAAGTACTCGGTACACTGGTCGAGCGCAAAACGGAGGCAAGAAGTCGTGAGGCGGGTTTGTAGATCTCTGCAGCTGATCGACCCGGAACCGAGACAGAGAAAGATGCAGGTCGATAATGCTCGGCCCTTACTCTGCTTCGTGTTGCTTGGACTGGTTGTGATGAAGAAACGTCAATCGTACCAGAGCTGCTCAGGACGGGCGTCAATGTTGAACCGGTAGAAATTAGGGCGCGCAGCTCTGAGGCAGATTCCCTCTGAAAGGTAGCTAGTGTGGTAGTAGGTAGTAGTTCATGGAACGGTGGTTATCTTGTAGTACCTGTGTGCCAGTGTTTCGCCGGGATCCAGGGTCCGAGAGATCTCTAAGGGTCAAGCAGGGTCAGGTAGGGCAGGGTACACTGTGCGGTAGAGTAAGACTGTACTCTGTACGCCGTACACGTATTGTACAATATACGTAGTAGTAAGTAAGGTATACGGAGAAGTATAGGGTCAAGTCCAAAGTGAAAACGAAGGTGAAGCGGCCTGCAAGAAGATTCAAGCAGGCATACGGAAAGTAAATAAATAATAAATCCGTACATCCGTACAATACCTACTAGTACAACTAAGTTCCAAGTTCCCAGTACCAAGTACCAAGTACCAAGGACCAAGGTACCAAATGCTCCTACTACTGTACAACCTACTGTACAGGGCAGTCAGTCAGCCAGTAGGAAGCGATGGCAGCAGCGCTGTCAAGACGGCCGAGCAGCAGCCACCAAAGTCTACTTACGATACAATGCAAGACTGCCCGTGCGAGACCCGACACTTCCCAACGGCAATTATAAACCTCAGCTTGGACCCCTGAATCACATCGGCAGGGCGAGGAGTAAGGAGTTGAAGAGCGAAGAACCAAGCAGGCACTGACCGTAGAAGCAGAAACAAACACATCAACGCTATTGATCATTCTGGTGTTTGGAGATAGCCGAGCGAGAAGGTAACAAAACATCGTTTATTTGTTCTATTCCTTCGTGCGAATCCACTTCCCGACGGACGCGCCAGGGAATAGTGCTTTTTACTACTCTATTTGTTTTCGATTCTGCAGGCCAATCTGGATCTCAGCTAGTCTGTCCGCATCCGCATGCATCATTCCCGATCTAGAAAAAGCAAAACCAAGAAAAAAACCAAGAGATCTAGACAAGAAAAAAAGAAAAGAAAAAGAAATTCGGCAATGGAAACTAGCCTCTCCTATCGTGTAATATAAATTAATAGCTGATTCTTAGTTCGGTCACTTCGGTGTGACCCGCTTGCATTCACGATATGGTTTCATGGAAAGAAAAGTTACATAAAAACATTGGGACAGGAACCACAAAGGAAGAAAGGAGAGGGGCAGCAGATGTTTAAATAAGGTTTCCTTTCCGCCACTCCCTCGGATTCGAATTCGGGGAAGCTAGGGACAGATTCCGCATACAACTAGGATTCCGATAAGAGGGTCGGAAGCATAGTTGTGAGGCAAGGTGAAGCGAGAAGAAGAGGACGGCAGACCCGGGGAAGGATCCCGTTTCAGCAGCGAGCGGGGGAGAGCCTAGAGGCGAGGAGAAGGAGGCGATCTCCCGCACTCTATGTGCACCAACTCAACCGCTACCCGATCGTGTCCTGCGAGCCTGGCTGTAGGCTGCTGTATCCTGCGGTGGCCCTTCTCCTGCTAGGGTATCCCTTTCTTGTAAGTTGTCTCGCTGCTCTCCATTTCACACCTCGGTAGAAATAAACCAAGTACACTAGTAACCATCCGGGCTGGGCCTGGGTAATCACTTAATGAAGGTCTTCAAAGTAATATGAACACTCAGGTGCAAGAAATACTGGGCGCTGCATGTCCCATCTTCGTACCAGGCAGGGTCCTTGATCTAAACCATGCAGGATCGGCCAAGGCTGAAGATTCGTGGGTTGAAGTCTTGTTTGAAAAAAGAGAAAAAAAAGACCTCTGAATCATCCCCTTTGCTTTTGCGGGCCACATCCACCTTGCACCACTCCTCGCTGTCAAATGCCTATCAATGTAGGAGAGCAAAAAAGAAAGATCGCACATCTCCAACCCATGGCTATGCTTGCAGATGCAGAAGCACCAACCATCTGAGCAAGCAGAAAAGAATAAAAGTGATCACACCACCGGCCGTTCGAAAAAGCAAAAGGGTCGCGCTACATGCGTGCGGCCGAAGCGTATCACAGCTCCACAAACATGCTCGCCACACCCTCCAAGCTAGGTGAGGCCTTTCTCGGTTCGGGCGCAGGCTGCTCCTTCATGAATTCCTGCTGCATCTTACTCCGGTTTTGTTGTCGTACCGCCGGGGTTGACTTGGCGATACGGCCTTGCTCGCTGATGCTTACGCCCTTGATGTCGCGGAGGAGGTCGAGGACCAAGGCGCGCTGCTGGCGCTGCAGCATGCCTGGGCGGGTGATGTATTCGATGCATTTGTCGACTGCGCTTTCTTGGACGCCGGGGATGCTGACGAGAATTTGGCGTGGAGTGGGAGTAAGTTTCGAGTAGTAGATGAGGACGGAGCCGACGACCGTTGCGAGTTCTCTTTGGAGCTCGACAAAGTAAGGCTCATTTAATGAGGAGATGCAGGCTTTAAGTACATCCGTGCTAATGAACTCTCGGATGGTAGACGAGAGAGGTGCATCTTGAGAGACGAAATCAGGGACGAGGGAACGGAAGATTCGGAGAACGACACCACAGCATCGACTATCGCGCATCCGAATCGCGTGGGTAAGAAACATGAGCAAAGGCTCGAGAATAGTTGATGAAGTAAGACAGAATGTGCGCATCGACGGATAGGCAGATACTGGATTGGTGTTTTCGTACGTGGACGAATCTTTCGCCGTTGTAGCACTTGCACCAGGATCTAGCAGTTGATTAGCGATATCTATGGGAATGGCTGAGAGTTTCGTACTGGGACGTGCAGGATCTAACATTCCGCCAATCATCATGACTGCAGAATGTGTCAATTGCCGCAAGATGCTCTCCTCCTTCATTTCCTCGGTGAGGTTATCACCATCGCTAGCTGCAACCTGCTTCCGAGCAAGTTTCTCCCACTCTGAGCTGCACTTTGCGTCCATTTGGACAAAGCAAGTCGCCAATATCGGCGGGACGAAGTGGCTGCGGAGCTCAACCGGGCAGTCATCTACCAGCAAACGAACCACACTGAGCAGCGCAATGAGCTGGTGCGAAGAGAGACAATCCGCATCGGCAAAAAGCGAATGCGCTAATGGGCCAGGTAGTTCACTGAAGCCATAGAAGTCCATGCCTAGTCTGCTCATACACCAGAGGATAGAGTAGCAAGCCTCTCGAATAGTGCGGATGGTGCCACGAATCGAGGAAGCGAAACCTTCCATGGTCTGTCTGGTACCTGATACCCGAGCATAGAAGTCATCTTTGCTCCCCTCTGATATGCCGGCTTGCCAAAAACGGTCCGTTAAGATGCGATTGACCACTATTTGCATATCGGGAGGAAGGCCCGCCCAGTTGGCTGTGTTATGGAAGGCGTGTGCATGGCTACAGAGTCAGAACGTCGTTGACTATCACAAGTGAGGGACGGTATACCTCAAGAACTTTAGCAAATTCGGAAGAATAACTGGTAGAGCTTCACGCCACAACACAAGTGATACTTTGTAAGGTGGGCTGTCCTTCTCAACCTTTTCCGTCGAAGAAGCTAGAAAAGATTTGGTTGTCCGCAGCGGCAGAGCCTGGCAAACAGTTAGCAAGCCTTTTTGGTTTTGGTTCGCTATTCGTACCTTTAGTCGCTCTTCCAGCTCTTTCTGGATCGACTGGCCTTCCACATCGAGCTGGTACAGCCCCCACTCATCGATCTCATGAACCCGCCGCGAAGCGAGGTATTCTCTGACCTTGCTAAGACCAAGCATCTCGGAAAAGCCTCCAAATGAAGCTAAAGCTTGCTCCATTTCTTGATTTTGCCATAGCTGCTTCACGGGGTTGACGAATGCGAGGAGCTTTTGCACGCGCATGTCGTGGTCTATCTTTGAGGCGCGAAGGCTGCAAATTGTCAGTACCAGAAGTATCACGAAAGCTGGGATTGCATACATGATGGTGAAAAGGAAAGTTTGGTAAGAAGTTTGCCGCTTCAAGTCTAATGTTCCAGAAGATATGATCTCGTTTACTTTTGCTTCAAGCTGCTCATAGACATCCTATTCCAGGTCAGTAGAGATCGTGGGGGTTAGCATATTTATCCTACCAGAAGTTGGTCAGGCATTTTGGTCGCTATCCGTTGTAACTCATAAACGCCATCTGCTTGTAACTCTTTCACGGCGTCGTTGTAAGCAGGGTATTCTGGTCGTTCCACAGGTCTGCTCATCAAAATGTACTCTAAAACCTTGAGCATAAACGGTGTCTTTGTATCTAGGGCTGTTGTCGAAAATGCAACAAGAAGCTGAAGAATCCGCTTCCGAATGATTGGATCCTACTTCCATTAGAAAATTTAGATGATGCTTGCTTCACGTGTGCTTCACCTCGTAGTTCAATTCGAGCAGCCGCTCGCACCACGCTTCAATGTTACTCTCTATCGCGCTACGTTCCTGCTCCTGGTTAATCTTAGCATGGGACTCACTAGTGCACCCAGTAGAGTGTTTTACATCTTGCAAAGGTTTGGATCCGTGTGATGATCTCCACTTCATGTAGCCTTTCAACGTGGCCTCCACAACAGCGAAGTGAGCGTCCGTCCGCAAGACTGGCATCGATGTTTTGGCGTAAGATTCCACTGTTTGCTGTCAGTGAAAAGAATTTTGGCGAGCCTAGCGGTTAGGGAAAGTACTTGAGAACGGAGGCTGTCCGTCGTAGAGTTGCCGCATCGATTGGTCAACCTGACCCAAAATGTGATAGATGGCTTCTGATCTCTTTTGACGGACAATGCATTCCAGAATTGTCACACTGTACCGTCGGTAGTTACCAAGGAACGCGTGTCGCTCGGGGATTGTGTCAATATCCTCGAGTAAGAATATTAAGGTCGGATCATCGTAGTCTTCGGGAAGACTCTCGTAGCGTATTAATCTTGAGCTGCATAACTCAAGCAGAGGTGCAATTAGAGGGGTGATGGTGGGAGAGCTGCCAATGGTATCTGAACGAAGAAGCCGGGTCCAAGTAACGAGAAGAGGTATTGAAACGACAAAGCTTTGGCTTTGAGCAATAGCAAGAAAGAGATTGAGGAGGTTGGGCAAGTCGCAATTTTCGGGAATAGCCGAGATTTTTGTCTCAATAAAGCTACCAAGATTCGATATCATCTGGGCCAGTATTAGCAAATCATTTGATAGAGCTTGGGTTTTCTAACCTCGGAGAACTTCTTTGCAAAAAGATACTTCTCATCGTCGATGTCATGAGGGTTGACGATGGAGTATTCGAATAGTTTTCGGAGCAGATCGACCATTTGGCTGGTGTACATTGGGCACACGAGAGCAAGAAACTCATCGTCCGAGAAGTGTATTCTGCTGTACAAAGCATGAAGGGCTTCTACAGATGCCTAAGAGGTTTAGAGAAGAAGAAATACCTTGGATCAAGGATAGCTTACCAGTTGCACTGCGACACTCGGAGTAGCAAGGCTTTTGCTCATATGTTGCACGCAGGACGCGCTGGAAACTGCCTTCGGAATCGCCCAGGGCATGACTGACTTGTAGACAGCCAGGGTCTTGACAGCACAACTTTGATACTGTGAGTTCCCACCCAGGTCGCTGTCCAGGCACTGGTTCAACAGCTCACCCATTCTCACCAGCCACCCCTCTTCCCCATATCGTACCGGAGTCCCCGGCCGACGGTTTGGGAAGGCTTCAGCAAGGACAATGGCTGGCGTAAAAATTTCTACGCATGCCTTGCTGAGCGCTCCCTCCCTCAGTACCGCAACTGTATCTTCTCCATTGAAGACCTCTTCCGAAAGTGTCTCTAGAATGAATAGCACAAATTCCTTGTGCACCACCGATCCAGGCACCTCCCAGAGCCGTACTAGCAGCTCATCCATATCGAGCCACTCTGAAGCCCAGCTCCTCTTTGCAATCTCAACCCATAACTGCGCCGTCTTATTCCGCAGATACAGCGGGTCCTCTGGCGAAACGTCTTGTGATAGCTGCAGAATCCATCCCCGCAACGCTGTCTCCTGTGCCTCCGAGTATTCTTGCCAATTGTATTTTATCGCATGCTCGAGGAGGGAGAGGGCAAAGTGGCGCACCACGGGCTGCTGGCCCTTGTCGGAGGCTAAAGTGAAGCCATGGTAGGGCGCCTCGGCGTTATTCTTGACGTTATCCAAGAAGATACCAGCTTCACGGCGGGAGTTGTTCGACGAGTAGGTACCGTGGACTATCTCGAGAGCTTCGTGGATCTGAGGCAGCGAGATTGTGCTACCGCCGCTGAGGGTGGTTACTTCGTGATCGCTGGTGATTCTGTGCCCGTTGGCAGAGCCGTTCATGGTAAGACTCATTCCTCTAGTTTGAAGAAGTCCAGAGTTTCTCTGCGTAAGAATCTTATCACAGGAAAAAGATTGTGGTCAGAGAAATTATCGTCCAGATCGCGAGCGAATGGCGATTCGAAGTCATTCGTGGGAATGTCAGATTAGCAAAGAGCTCAGCGCACCGTGAAAAAGCTTGATAAGGATTTCATACACGGGAACGGATTCGCAAGAGAAGATCGAATGCTGAGGAAGTAGAAGTTGAGGTAGTCTGGAATAAAGGAGCCAGATGGTGAGGGCTGCCAAAGCCTATAATATCTCGGTCCTCAGCCTGGCGGCCCGCTACTCTCCCACGAGGCTATGACGCTTGCAGCCAGCTAATCAGATCTTTGTTTATACTCATTCGCTTCAGCAATATCAGATGAATATTAAATTTCATTTGAGGGGAGACGTATCTTTCAGAATAGCTCTTGCTTTACTATGTCAATAACTTAAAGTAGGCAGACCTCTTTGTTTTCTTGCGCACTTTTCTACATCTTATGTGCTTCAATGAATGAAAGCTCGATCCAGCTCGTCTTGTAACCCTTGTTTCAAGAAAGCATGTGCGAGTGACCCCAGCATACAGTTCAATTTCTCGGATGCCCACCCAGACGCCTGTTGTACGCTCAACGCGAATGAATCCAGAAAGCAGTCGCCAGAATAATCTACATAACAGCACACTTGCTCTGCTGGCACTGATCCAAATAACCCTCCTCCTCCTTCCCCAACGCCACATTCTGCCGCCTCATCACACCAATAACCTTGATCTTGTGCACACCCTCCACATGCCACCACCTTAGTCGCTGAATCATGCCTCCGTCCTCATCGTCAACACTAATCTCCCACTTCCCTGCACTAACCACAACCTCGCACATATCTTTGGGAAAGTGGAATTCGGGCAAGAAGATCTCCGTCGGCTTTTCTTCGGTGGAAGGTCGATGCGCATCGAAGGAAAGACTGAAGATACAGTTCCGGAGATCAAAGCCGTATTCCAGGATTTTGCCAACAGTGTGGATGGGCGAGGGTCGCACGTAGGCTTCGGCTGCGCGGTACCCTGGGGCGTTGGTTAGTTCAGCGGGCATGTCGGTGGGGTTTGGGGAGATGGATGGAGTGCTCAGTTTGGCTTTTATGTTACCGGGGTTCACTGTCGATTCGTTTGAAACGTCGCGTTTTGTACTTGCGCCAGCTTTGGGAAGTAGTGGTGCATTTGAATCGGTGGGTGGTGAGGCGGGGATGGAGGAGAGTGGGAGGGGTTGATCATCTAGGGAGAAGATAGAGAGGTCTTCGCCATTCCATTGATCACCCAGATGATGCTTGTTCTGCTTACATTAGCAGCAATTGGGTAGAGGTTAGAGCCTAACCTACCTCGCACATGTACAGCCAGAGGGTGTAACCGGCCATGGAGCTACCTTCCAGAGCAAAGTGGTTGGCATCCATAGCTCCAGACTGGCTTGAATAGTCCCCAGTCTTGTAGGCGTGTTTGTCGTCCATATCATAAGGTATACCGAATTCAGTTAACACACACGGATGGTTGCCCATGTAATCGAGGCCTTCCTTCCGGATTGCAGATAATTGATCTCTGAAGCAGTTGCGAATCGCAGTCTCGCCAATCTTGACCGCAAAAGCAGGTGCCAGGTAACGCCCTCGTAAAACGCCCAAGACATCAACGTTCCAGTAGCGATTCCATTTCTTGGTCATAAGAGTAACACCATCATAGTAATGGGGTGCATAGACCATCTTTGGGTCATCGTCTTCTGTTCCTTTGATCGATGGAGGAACCTCCAAAACTGGTGGCTGGCAGAACAGGATACAGTCTTTGTGATGGTTTCGGATGGCATCCCTGTGTTTTCGATAGTAGTCCATGAAATAGGTATTTGTGAAGTGCTCATAGTCGATAACCTCACCTGTCCAGGGGTTCTTTTTGAAATAACCCCTCTTCAGGAGGGTATCGGTTGCTGGATCCCAAACCCCGTGCTGTGCCCAAATGCACTCTCCAAGTTTCCATCCAGGATCTCTTTTGTAGCCGTACCTCGACTCGTCATAGTTTGCGGGGAGCCATGTGCTCTCTCCTTGCGGATCCACAAGCACTCGTCCAGACTTGTATGGTCCCATACCACCAAAGTCCCACGTGTCTATCTCGCATGCCCTCCCAGATCCTGTCAATATAGCTTGCCAAGCAGTCGGCGATGTCCCCTTCTGAAGCTTTTGCTCACTCGGGATTGAAGAGAGATCGGGCCAGCCCACGAAGCCACGGTTCGGCTCGTTCAGGCTCTCCCAGCCAATAACAATCTCGTCTTCCAAGTCGCCAGCTTCATGGATACGTTTGGCTAGGTGGGCAAGCGCATTAATAAAATGGTCTTGTAAATAGTCTTGAATATTCTTGTCGTCGATAATACACTTGGGCGCGAAATCCCTCCCAGCAAAGAAGAGTGTGAACATGGTTTGACAGGCCAATCGATGGTAATTCGTAGACCATATCATTTTCGGGAAGTTCTGGGGTTCGGGGTAAGTGTTGTGTACCAGAGCGGATTCAGTCGCAGCGAAGCTTTGGGGGTTCAATCCGCAAGCATATAGCGTCCACATGGGAGCTCCAGATCCACCCGAGAATCTCGACCACTGGATATATTTAGCCATAAGCCATGCCCCAGAGTAGATGCCAACATACTACGTCCTGATGTGGATCCATAAAGATGTAGAATCCATAGCTTCTTCCCAGTCGCAGAATCTCGATTGTATGCTGAATCCACTCTTCGTCATATATTCCTGGGCCAGCAGCCTCGATAGCCTCCCAGGTAAAAACATATCGGATGGTGTTGTAACCCCAGCGCTTTAATCGAGAGTAGTGAAGATGGGCATCCTCGAGCGGGAATGGCCGAGAATGGAAGTTTACAGTGTCACCGTCGAAGAAGTCCTGAGGGACGTGGGAGGGTTGATGTGGGTTGCTGGGGTACTTTGCATCTCCAGCCATGTTGATTCCCCGCAGCGTAACCTGCCTTCCGTGGTCGTCGCGGAAGAGGCCATTCTCAATGGTAAGTCGTGGTTTCGCCATGATGTGCGAATCTCTGATATAAACACGTCGATAGGTGGTGTTTCTGTAAACTGTTCGCGGCAGAGCACGGAAGCTTGCACATAGGAGATGCCCTGCCAGCTCTAAATTTAGTTTCCGCTCTTCGTACGTCGGATGGCGAATGTCTTAAGGCCTCAATCACACGGTTGACATGAGTCGCCTGGATCCGAGTCCGACAGTCAACAACCAGCTTCGGACTGGCAGATTTGAGTAACTGTAGCGAAGAAATTGAACAACGTCGAGTGTTAAAAAGCGTGCAACAAGTTGCGATACATCAATATCCTTCTGTACTGCAAGAGCTTGTAGCCCGTAGAAGTAGAAACCGGGAATTGCTGAATATGTTGAGGCTGAGGGTGGCGGATTGGGAAGGTCAGCTCGCATTGGAGAAGATCGCTTGGCCAAAGCAGCCGCAGATCTGCCTTCTCAACCAGGGATCAGGCGAGGCTGAGACGAAAACCTAAGCTCTGTACATATGCAGTAGCTGACTGACATCACATCGTCACTTCGGAATAGCTTCGGTTTCTTTCCCTTCGAACTGGTACACCCAGCTATGCCAGTCTATTCCAGTTCCCGCCACGTTTCTTGAAGCAACATGTCAAAATCGAAGGGAGCTAAGGAATCGCTGAAAGCTATAGTAGCTTCAGTCAAGGCTCAGAAATACGATGACGCTGTACAAGAAGCTCAGAACCTGCTGGCATCGGATCCCAAGAACTACCAGGCGTATGTGCTAATATCTCCCGTGGCAGACATGGATGCAGATTCCGCGGTAACGCTGCTGGAAAGCTCACGCTGAATTTATACAGGTCGATATTCCTGGGATTCTGCTACAGCAAACAGAACAAGCTCGCAGAAGCCGAAACGGCATACGATGCTGCAACGAAGATCAAAGACTCCGATCCACAAGCCTGGCAAGGGCTCATCCAACTGTATGAGAAAGGAAGCAACCAGAAACTTCCTGCATACTTTACCGCAGCCTTGAGATTAGCCCAAATTTACGAAGCTGCAGACGATAAGTATAAGTGTCAGTCTGTGGTGGATGCGTTCCTCTTGTTCGCCAAAAGCCAAGGCACGCGGCTTCAATACAAGAAAGCCCAGGAGATAGTTCTTCCTACAAGTCCAATCTACAGCTACCTGGAGGGCAGAATCCCACATCCCGCCCATACGTACCAGATCATAGCACAGATCACCGAATTTGAAGAGAAGGAGCGGATCAACACGCAGATTGGTGAGCGAAGAACCAGACTCGGTGCTAAAATTGGCCAGGTCACTGCTGAAGTCAAGCGGGAGGTGTTGAAGGACAGTGATTTGGAGGATATCTACGAGCAGATTATTGACTGGAGCAATGAGGATGAGATCCGGCGGCAATATGAGGAGAAGCTTATACAGAGATGTGTCGAGGCACTAACTGTGCTTCCTCCTGGCCAAGACAAAATTGAGAAGCGCAACAAGGCTATAAAGCTGGCCACTGACATGGTCATTATAAAGCACCCTTATAAGCTGGCATGGGACATTGCAATTGAATGGAAAGATGCCGAGAACATCCGAGATCTGGATGTCACTGTGCTACGAGAATATTACGCCTTTTTTCCCACTGCCGGTCTTGCCCAGGTTTTACGAGGATTCTTAAGCAGCGAGATATCACCCTTTCCACCGCCACCCCCTCTTGCACATAAATTTGAAATGGCTGGGTCTGACGAGAGTGAAGATGATGACGACGACAGTGGAGGGGTATCTCTGGATGGTCCTATGCCAGCCGAGGATCGTCTACTTCTGATGTCTGACGGGATGGCAGACGCAGGAAAGTCGATTCTTGCACACAGACTGATGGGTGAGTACTATCAGTTCCTCGAAGAATACGAGACTGTCGCAGATCTCATGCGAAATGGCCGAAGGCTAGTAGAGGAAGAGTCCAGCAAAACTGCCTTGAAGTTCGAACACTCTTCTGATGCAATGACTGCCCTCCTGGGTACTGCTCTTGTTTACTACCAATCCCCCAAAAACCACCTAGAAGCTAAGACATTGTTCGATGGTCTCCTGGAGCGGAAGCCTACGTCGACGCCAGCTTTGATTGGTGTGGGCTTGATCTACGAAGAGAAGGAAGACTACCCTGCGGCCATCGACTTCCTAGGCCGTGCACTTCAGCGTGACCCGAAGAACATTCGCGTCAAGACTGAAGCAGCCTGGGTCAAGGCTCTAAATGGTGACTTCGATAGAGGCAGAGACGAGCTTGAAGACTGCTTAGCTCAGATCAACAGTAAGGACCTTCGAAATAAAGACTTGGTTGCTCAGACTCAATATCGTATTGGAATTTGTATCTGGAATATCGATACCTCAAAGGCCGCGCGGAAGGACAGGAACGGTGCTTATGCCTATTTCTTGGCTGCTCTGAAAAGCAATCTGAACTATGCACCTGCTTATACCAGTCTTGGTATCTTCTACGCCGATTACCTGAATGACAAGAAAAGATCCCGAAAGTGTTTCCAGAAGGCATTTGAACTTTCAGCCTCAGAAGTAGAGGCTGCTGAGCGACTTGCCAGAATCTTCGCTGAGCAAGGGGAGTGGGAGCTTGTTGAGGTTGTGGCTCAGAGAGTAGTAGACTCTGGGAAGGTACGGCCATCACCTGGTTCAAAGAAGAAGGGTATCAGCTGGCCTTTTGCAGCTTTGGGAGTGGCGGAGCTAAACAAGCAAGACTATGCCAGGAGTATCGTCTCTTTCCAGTCCGCCCTCCGAATCACACCTAATGACTATCATTCCTGGGTTGGTCTTGGCGAGAGCTATCACAACTCTGGTCGATACATTGCAGCCACCAAGGCATTCCAGCACGCAGAAAATTTTGAACACGAGGTTACGCAGCAAAACTCAGGTCAAACATGGTTCGCGAAGCACATGCTTGCGAATGTCAAGCGAGAATTGGGGGACTACGATGATGCTATCGAAGGATACAAAGCCGTACTCACAGACCGACCTGCCGAGTTTGGAGTTTCCATTGCCCTGATCCAGGCCCTCGTAGAGAGCGCATGGGATGGAATCGATAAAGGTTTGTTCGGATACGCTGCCGGACGAGCAGCCGAGACGATTGATGCCGCTCTTGCACTTGCATCGAGCAGATCCGATGCTTTTAATCTTTGGAGGGCAGTAGGAGATGCTTGTTCAGTCTTCTCCTGGAATCAGAGTCGCATGTCAGACTTTCCACATGCGAAAATGAAAGAACTCTTGAAAACTGGCCATGCGAAAGATGCCTATGGTATCTTTGCAGATGTCGATGGGGTTGGGATCGATGTGGTATTTGCAGACGGACTCTACGCCAAGGATGAGGTTGAAGGGCTGAACTTGACACGGTGCCTACACGCTTCGGTGCTTGCTCACAAGCGAGCAGTACATGCCTCGGCCCAAGATATTCATGCCCAGGCTGTTGCATACTACAATCTAGGTTGGGCAGAGCATCGAACCCATGTTTGTTTATGTGCTGGTATCAAGAAGCGATCCACGCGGTATCTCAAGGCTGCTGTGCTGTGCTTCAAAAGAGCCATCGAGCTCGAAGCCGGTAATTCTGAATTCTGGAATGCTCTCGGTGTTGTCACCAGCGAGCTGAATCCCAGAGTCGCCCAGCATTCTTTCATCCGGAGCCTGTTCTTGAATGAAAGAAGCTCACAGGCCTGGACGAATCTCGGTACTCTGTATCTGCTACAGAACGACTATGAGTTGGCAAATGAAGCTTTCACGCGAGCTCAGTCCACCGATCCGGACTTTGCACATGCCTGGATTGGACAAGGCCTGCTAGCATTGCTGCTCAGTGGCGATATTCAGGAAGCGAATCTTCTTTTCACGCATGCCATGGAAATTTCCGAGTCGTCTTCACTGATCACTAAGAAGCAGTACTCGCAATCTACGTTTGATCAATTATTTTTATCAAAATCCTCTTCCAGCATTACAGATTTTGTTCAGCCATTATTCGCGCTCAAGCAGCTGCAGTCCATGGACCCGAACGACGTTATGTATCAACATCTTTCGACCCTCTTCCTAGAACGCATAGGAGACCTCGATCTGGCTCTGGAAGCACTCTCCAAAATCTGCGCAACCGTCGAAGCCGACTACGAGGTCACGGAATCAGTAGCTTCTCTATCCCGTTTCGCCCTCGCCAAAGCAGACCTTGCTCGCTCCCAGCTAGCCGCCGGTTTGTACGAAGAAGCAATCGAAAACGGCGATACGGCACTGCAACTCAGCGACGAAGACGCCGGTAACGAGCTCACAGCCGAGTCCCGCCAACGCTGCAGGTTGTCCGCACATCTCACTGTAGGCCTCGCCCAATACTACTCCGAAGACCCCGAAGCCGCTCTCCAGTACTTTCTTCCTGCTCTCGAGGAGTCCAATGGTAACCCTGATGCTGTATGCCTCCTCGCTCAAGTCCTCTGGGCCAAAGGCGACGATGACTCGCGCGAATCAGCACGAGACCACCTCTACACGTGCGTCGACACGCATCCCGAACACGTCCAATGCGTTTTACTTTTAGCACTCATCGCGCTACTCGACAACAACGCTCTCCAGGATGTCACAGTCCGCCTCCAAGACCTGCGCACAACGCACACAACCACCGACCTCGAACAAAGCCAAGTCTCTGAACTCTTGAGCGCTACCGCCGCCCTCTCCCAGAAAGATACAGAGAAGGAGGTATTGACGGAGATCCAGACGGATATCCTCTTGCACCCCGGACAGCCTTATGGATGGAATCGGCTGGCTGAGGTTGAGGGTGACGAGCACACGGCTGATGTTGCGCTAATGACAGCTACTAAGGGTGTACCTCCCAAGGGTGCGTTAAATGCAGAGGATTTGGCCTACACGTTTGCCGGGACGGGGAAGGTCGGAGATGCGCAGAGGGCGATTGTGGTTGCGCCGTGGAGTGCTGAGGGGTGGGATAAGCTGGGTGCGGCGGCGGCTGGAAGGGGTTGAGGGAATATGCGTGGTGATGACGACGGGCGACGATGATTATGAGGAGGCACTTTTTGGGACGCGAATATGGTAGACTTCCTGTAGAACTCGACAAATGTAGACGGTCGAGGCTTACGAACTGTGTCTTATAGCGGCAGGCGTTATTTCGAGCCCTGACTACATCACCACCATTGTTGAAATATTGTTATTCATCCTCGAACCGATACCTTTAACTGGGAATGGTATGGTATGTATGCCATAATGAAGCGGCTCATAAATTATTGTTGATATATATATATATATATATATATATATATTTCCACCGAGCGGGTTGCTGGACAAGCAAGCATTGCTTTGTCCTTTTCGGAAGGAGCATCTTACTTACTCACTAAGTAGAATGAATGATAATGCTATCTCCTCTATTGCATTTGCATCCAAGCCAGTCAATCAATCAATCACGGCCTGGGAACCTGGGAGATCGACTGAGCAGACAGTTCTTGAGAGCAGACAGTTCTCGAGAGTCAAGAAGACATTATTGCAATAGATGATGCAAAGGGGGGGTTTTGAAAAAAAAAAGGACAAAAAAGGATAAAAAAGCATAAATTTTTTTTATCGGAATGCGTAGAGTATTGGAAAAAGTGAGAGTGTAGATTTCGATTCGATGGGGGGCTTTCTCTCTGGGATATTTATGTATTTATCTCTATGTATCTATATATCTATATATATTGGGCTCGGACGGCGCGTCTGATGTCTCTACAAAAAACCATGGAGCCGATAGCTAATACAGTAGCTAATCCTCGTAGTAGCAAGCTTGAGCAAGAATACGGGAACGAAGATGGAGAAGTCTAGAGCCCGCCTGCTGTGTGCAGATAGATGCGGTAGATAGATAGACGCTTAGATCCACCTCTCGTTGGTTTAGTTTAGCGGCTAGGACCTCGTTGCCGATTGGTACCGTGCACAGCAGGCCTGTATCTCACGAGGGAGAAGCCCGTGGGGGGATTTCTTCTCGCGGGGTACCTACATACAGGCCTTCGGTTTTGGGGGGTTCTGGTTTGGTTTGGTTTGGTTTGTTTGGTTGGAGATCTACTAGGTACTACTACGTACCGGTGTTACGGCTACTGCTACTTTTGCTCTAGACTAGATTAGATTAGACTAGATTAGACTAGACTAGACTAGCAGATCCCCAGATCGGGAGGAGGAAAGAGTCTGGAAAAGATGGTTGACACCACCGGGTTGTTAGAGGCGCGCCACCGCAAACCCGAGACGAGATGGTGTGTCTTGGTTACATGGTGACGATGCTGGTGAAATTCGGATCGAGAAGAGAAGATCACCGAGTGTGACGCTATCATTGCCGTTGTGGATGGTCCCATCATGCTGGATATGGATGCAGTCGACGCACTCGTCGCCAAGAAGGAGGCCTTGATTGGCGTGGTGGGCTTTACGAGTGAGGCTCTGATTCTGATCTCGTATGGCTACGACACCTTGAGTCTGGTGGCTGTGGCACCGAAGCTGGATGTTGCGATGGTGCCGGCGGCGGCGGGGCCGGTGCTTGCGATTGATTTTTGACGTGCAGGGAAGGCATGCTTGCATCCGGAGGGTGCTGTTGGCGCCGCTTACGATGTAAGGTAAGGGGGGTAGGAGGTTATGGTGAGTGTGAGTATGAGTGTGAGTATGGGAATGGTGCTGAAAATCCAACGACCGGGGAGTGTACATATGCATGTTGGTTAGCTGTATATACCCACGGTACAGGCGTAATTGTTATCCCTTGAGGGTGCCTCAAAAAGTTTAGTTTCCACTTCAAACCCCCTGGTTACCCTACCCTCAGGGGGTAATACTTACGCCTGGGACGTAGTATAAAAGGGATGTGAAGGGAAACACTACTGGGAGCCGATTCCATTCGCTTAGCTCAGGGGTATTGACACTCGCATCTCGGCTATCATGATGGCTTCGGCTATTATAATGTCCTCGGTTATCATAATGTCTTCGCTTATTTGGGGAATAACAGGCTGGCTTTGTTGCACCTGCTGCTTTGCGTATGGAATCTTTATCCAAAGGGGGTGTGAGTGCGTTCCAGGTGTATAGGAACTGGGGCAAGATGTGCTCATGGGTGGATGATCAGGAAGTGGTAAGATAGGTATACAGTGCCGGATATGGTGTTAGTCTTGTTGATGTATTTGGGTGTTGCTTGTATTTGGGGTTGGGGTATTGGAGTCCAGTCTAGGGACTATCAGAGGTCCAGAGAGAGAAGATTATACGCGCAACGAAGGCCAATACCTTCTCCTCTAACAGAGCCCACGTGATGCTAGCTCAGAAACCCGATCATCTGCAGCTGTGTTTGATATATCGGACGATATCCCCAAGATATTTTGGGGCCTTATCATCATCGTCAGAAGGCTCCGGGATTGCAAACCCACTTGACCTCATCTACTACGTCGCACTGTACATGCATCTGCGCCACGGCTGAAGCTGCGATACTTAGTCGTCGGAAGCAGGCGTAGACGTGATGGATATTATTGGCTAGGGACCTTCTGGATGCTGCTTGCGATGCCCAGCAAATGCTGCATCTGACCGATTGGACCTCCACCGGATTGCCAGCAGCCGGTGGGAAGCTGTCATATTTGATGGAGTGTGAGAGCTGCCGGTAGGTATCGGGTAGGGCAGCGTTGGGTCGGGGCAATACAGAGATGTAGGATGTGTAGGATGTGTAGGATGTGTAGTTTTGTACAGAGTTGGATAGGCTGGAGGGAAAAGGTTCCGTGGGTAGGGATTGGCGACGTCGTGCCAATGATAGAGTGGGACTGTTCGCAGATCGTCAAGATCCCTACCATCTAGGACTGGGACTGGGACTGTACCGTAGCTGCTTGGGCGATGGCATGTACGGTACCGGTAATCACCATAATCATATTAATCATAATAATGGCAATGGCAAAAGAGAGCTATACTTTGTACCGCGTAGAAGCTCAAGAATCCTCTCTATTGTTTCCCACTCCGAATCCAGCCGAACCTTTCCTTGACCACGAGGTCCTTCCGCCCACGTAAGCTTTGGAAATTCAGCCTAAAGTAACAACAACCTACCCCTGTAGTACCTCGTTCGTGGGCGAAAACCTGCCTTCTCTCTGCCTTCGATTTTACTTCGCCGGCAACAACAACAACAACAACAACAACAGCAACAGAAACAAAACTGCCTCGTTGGCACCGCAGCCAGTCAGTCGCCCATGAGTGGAAATTCTACACGTGCTACAGCTTACCTCCCACCAGGTTTACGTCTCTGTCGACAACCTTAAGTAATCCATACCTACTACTACTACGTACATACGACAACCCCACGACCCCTCCTCTGTCCCTCCATCAGCCCTTCCCCCCCAACCCAGAACTCAGAACCCACAAGCCGCAACTCAGAACCCACAACTCAGAACCCAGAACCTGTCAGTTACTTCCAATCCTCACGATGCCCGCTGTGGTTGAGGAGCCCGATGTCCGGGGCAGATTGCTGCTGGTGTCTAACAGACTACCTATTACCATCAAACGGGTACGTACCAATTCTGCGAAGCCATCCATCGCCCCAAAGGAGCGGGCTCGGGCACAGCTCTGTTCAGTCCAGAGCGCTGGATCCATATCTGTAAACAAAGCTAATCCGCAGCTATATAACAGACCGATGATGGCTCCTACACCTTCTCCATGTCCTCCGGTGGTCTCGTTACAGGTCTGAGCGGACTCTCAAAAACCACGACCTTTCAATGGTATGGCTGGCCCGGCTTGGAAGTACCAGAGGTGGAAGCTGGTCCTATGGTGAAGCGTCTCAAGGATGAACACGGTGCCGTGCCGGTCTTCATCGACGATGAACTGGCAGACCGACACTACAACGGCTTCTCTAGTAAGCGAAACACCCTTAGTCCCCCCCCCCAAAGATACACATTGGCTAATAACATTGACAGACTCGATCCTCTGGCCTCTATTCCACTACCACCCCGGAGAGATTACGTTTGACGAGTCAGCCTGGGCTGCTTACAAGGAAGTCAACCGATTGTTCGCAAAGACAATGGCAAAGGATGTACAGGATGGGGACTTGGTCTGGGTTCACGACTACCATTTGATGCTCCTGCCACAAATGCTGCGAGAGGAGATCGGATCGAAGAAAAACGTCAAGATCGGCTTCTTCCTCCATACGCCATTCCCCAGTAGTGAGATTTACAGAATTCTACCTGTCCGAGACGAATTGCTGCGTGGAGTCCTCAGTTGCGACTTGATTGGATTCCACACTTACGATTACGCACGTCATTTCCTTAGCAGTTGCTCTCGTATCCTGTCAGTTGATCTCTCTTGTGTACCGTGTGTTTTTGCTGACATGAGCTCAGTGAAACACCAACCACCCCCAACGGCGTCGATATCGGAGGCGGAAAATTCGTCACGGTCGCGGCATTCCCTATCGGCATCGATCCCGATAAGTTCGTCGATGGACTGAAGAAGCAGAAGGTTCAAGAACGCATAGCTGTACTGGAACGCAAATTCGAGGGTGTCAAATTGATTGTAGGGGTTGATCGGTTGGACTACATCAAGGGCGTTCCACAGAAGCTCCACGCTCTGGAAGTCTTCCTCTCTGAGCACCCGGAGTGGATCGGTAAAGTCGTACTCGTTCAAGTCGCAGTACCCAGTCGTGAAGACGTTGAAGAATACCAGAATCTCCGTGCTGTAGTCAACGAACTGGTCGGCAGAATCAACGGCCGCTTCGGCACCATCGAATTCATGCCCATTCACTTTCTGCATCAGTCTGTCAACTTCGACGAACTCACCGCTCTGTACGCAGTCTCCGATGCTTGTCTCGTGTCATCCACCCGCGACGGCATGAACCTGGTCTCCTATGAGTATATTGCCACGCAACGCAAGCGCCACGGCGCGATGATCCTTTCTGAGTTCACTGGTGCCGCTCAGTCGCTGAATGGCGCTTTGATTGTCAACCCATGGAACACGGAGGAGCTTGCAGGTGCGATTCACGATGCGGTCACCATGTCTCCCGAGCAGCGTGAGATCAACTTCAAGAAGTTGGAGAAGTACGTTTTCAAGTATACGAGTGCGTGGTGGGGCGAATCATTTGTGAGCGAGCTGGTCAGAATCAGTGATAGTGCGGATGAGAAGCATAAGAGGTATGGCGGGAAGGCGATTGAGCATGGAAGCGAGCTGAGCGAGAGAGATCTGAATGTGAAGGATGGCAGAGGAGAGCTGAGCGATTGATTAATGATGATATGCTAAGATGAATGGCTTTTGAGGGATGGGTGGACACGCTACGATACCAGCGAGCTGTGCAGAACAGACTCTAGGCGTTGAGGAACTGAATTTTCCATAGCTAGGCCTCAACAGGACTTTGTATCCTATTTTCCCGTGACCTAAAGAAACCGGAATCCATGTTAAGCTGTGAAAGTTCCCTGCGGCTATTTCCTGCAGTGCGCTCAACCCCGACCGACCCATCGAGAATGGATCTTGAACTTGGAGTCAGCCCGCAGTTCAAGTTGTTGACATGTACATCCGTAATCCTTCTGCAGCCACCCCCACCCATACAACTAACTCTCTCTCTCTCTC